GTCATTTTTGGTTAATTACTGGAAGATGGCGGTTCCAGCCAAAAGGCCCCAGTGGGATCTTGACATCATGCTATCCACCCCAGCCTCAGCCAGTCCAGATCATGGGCACATGTATGCCTGGTGTGTTCAGAAAGGTCTCCAGATGTGAACCTGGGATTTTCCTATGTGGGTCACCTCAGAGTATTGTGTTACCCCTGCACCACTATCTAGCCCCATAGAAAACATTCTTTAATATAATACAAATCTGAAAACCCTGAGGACAGAATACTTCATCAATTAAGTTCTGGTGGAATCCAAGTGGAAGTTGTTATAATGAAGACATTAAAGCTTACAAGCAGAAACAGATTCTTTTTCTTTTGATTGGTACATGCATCTTTAAATGGATGAACAGTCCCAATGAGGAGAAGTATTTAGGGCCATTTCAACCATTTGGAGTCTTGGCATTATCTTCAAAGAAACAATAAACAAATCCTAGATCATAAGAGTCTATATCTTCCCCAGCTTTAGAGCTCAAAGATTAGTCCTCAAAGCCTGGCTTTCTTACGGTATCTTCCAGAGCCTGTCATTGCTTTGCTTATTACTCTCCAGAAGGCCTACTGCCAGGCTAGAGATGGAATTTACAAGCCACCTGTTGGGCCCCGAAGCCCACAATGTGGGCCAAGTCCACCAGCAGCAGACAGCACACAATCTCTGCCTTGGGAGAATTCATGGCATCGTTCCCTTCACAAGTGGCTGACGCCAGTCTCCCATAACTTTCTGGTCCCCCCGAGACTCTTTATTTTTTCACCATCCTCCCCTGATTTATTGAAGTATATTTGATAAATAAAAATTATAAATATTTAAGGCATACAACTTGATGTTTTAGGATACATCTACATTGTAAAATAATCACCGTCAAGCTAATAACTATAGAAACACCTCACAGTTTCTATTTTGGGGGGAGAGGGCTGAGAACACTTAAAATCTATCCTCTTAGGAAAGCCCAAGTATGCGACATTGCTAACTGAGTCACATTACATCAGATCTCCAGAAGCAGCATACCTGGAGCTCTGACCAACACCTCCTCACTTCTCCTTCCCTGCAGCTCCTCGTAACCAGCATTCTACCCTTCGCTTCCATGCCTTTGACTGTTTCAGATTTCGTATGTGAGATTAAGCAGTGTTTGTCCTTCTATCTTCACTTTTAACATACTGTTTTGGTTCAACCCTGTTGATTCCTGATTTTTGCCTTCACAAATTCTTCCAGCTCTGCATAGTTCCTCGTTTCTCACCCTGATGCCAGCCAATCTCCAGACCTCACATTGACCTCTAATACCTACCTGAGCCTCCTACGTAAACAGCACTTAGCATTCATTTTTCTGGATATTCACGGTGTCATGGCTACCCAGAGGCTGAGAGTTCTTTGGGACTCAACTTCCTGAGCTTTCAATCCTTCAGCTTATAATGTTTATTTTTATTTTTATTTTTAATTGCCAGAAGGCATGTGCACTTGCCAGAGAGAGACAGAAAGAAAAAGAGAGACGGGAAAAGCACCTCTCAGTGGGATATGGTCATGCTGCAATCTTCTCCATCTCTGCATTCTGCCTGGATTTGGGGCATACACACATATGTGCCTGGTGTGTTTTCAAGCCTAAAGGGCTGGGATTTGGACTGTGGTCAGTGACGTGGGATGTGGCTTCCTTAACCACTAGGACATGAGGTTTGTCCCTCATAACTTTTAATAATCTGTTTTCTCTGGAGTCTGTCCTACTTTATGTCTGTATAGATCTGTTCTATGGTGAATTGCCTTTTGTTGAAGAGGTTGCCTAGTTTTCCTTTTTGCTTCTACCATTTCTGTTCTTGATAAATACTGGCCTCACCTGCCAGGCCCACACTCTGTGACGCTTTATTCTAACTCGGTCTCAGTGCCTAGAATTTCATCTTGTCTGGGTGCAAACAGCCAGCATAGTAGAAATACAGCAATATACCACTTTTGGACCACGAGCAGCCATTTAAAAGTTTATTGATATTTTTTAAAAAATTAACCCTTAATATCTTTCTGCATTTAAGTAGTTGGCAGGATATCTGCAAATGTCTGTTTCCATAAGGCCATGAAACCATCCTGATTGTTTTGATTCTAAAAATATTGCTTATTATTCAATAAGACCCAAAGACATTAATAAAAATCCATGAAAAGGCTTTAACTATTCTTACTTGATAAGGATTAAGAACTGGGATTACAATTGACCTTGCTTCTTCAACTCTTTGGATTACAATTGTTCCCCCCCGCCTAGTTTAAGATGAAATGAATGAGTCAAACCAACTCTTTGGAATATAATTGTTCCCCCTCGCCTAGTTTAAGATGAAATGAATGAGTCAAAATGTAGGTTGCAATTGCCTCACAAACATTTACAAGTGTGATGTCTTTCCAATAAAGAAATTCAGGGTCTCAGGCCTGCCGCATGCCTTAGTGGTTGAGGGAGCTGGACCCCACATGGTGAACCATGCATGGCTCAGACCCAGAACAGTGGCTTGGGAAACATGCCGTGTGTGTGTGCCCCAGGTCCCAACAGAACAGAAAAATGAAGGAGGGATCATGGTGTGACCACACCCTATGGGGGGGTACTTTCTCCCCCAACCTCCATTTCTTTCTGGCAAGTGTGCGGACTCCGGCAATTAAAAAAAAATCAGAATCCTAAATGTGCATCTCACAATAAGATAACAATTATATCCAAAACAAATAGAGAAGCTCTAAAATTCTTTAGGCATGTTAGGAAGTTTTCACAATAAAAATTTGAGCAAAAGTCTTGATTTTTGTCCTTATCCTTTAAAAAAAAAACTATTCACTCTTTAAAAAAAAAAAAATACAAAAGCAATTTTTTCATTGCCAGAGTGTACATCTGCTTGCTAGAGAGAGAGAGACAGAGAGAAGGCATTTCCAAGTGGGCGTGATCACACCGCAATGCCCATTTCCTCCATTTCTCCATTCTGTCAGGATTTTAGGCACACACAGATGCACCCCACATGGCTTTTGAGCTGCTGGATTTGAAGTGGTTGGCCATGGGGGACCCAGTCCTGACGCAAAGTGCTTCACTGCTATGTATGGGACTGACCCCACTCTTACTCTTTCTTTAACGATGATTTAGCTGGTGATGGCGTACTTGATTGACCATTCCTTTCCCTCAGCGTTTCAGAAGCGCTAGCTCGCCATCTTCTGACCTCTGTAATTGTAGATGGGAAGTATGCTGTGAAACTATGTACTATCCTTTTGTAGGTAATGTGCATTTTCTGTCTGAAGGCTTTAAGACTGTTTTGCCTTGGGACCAGCAGTTAGCATAATGGCTATGTTGCTGAACTCCCACATAGTTGACTGCGGTTCAACTCCCGGACCCAGTGGCTTAAACTCACACCGGGCACGTGTGCGTGCGTGCTCAAGATCCCAAGAGGAGAAGGGATTGTGGTATGGCCATCCCCCCTGGGGGGTGATTTCTCACTTTCTGTCTCTCTGTCTCTGTCTGTCTGGCGAGCACACGAACCCTATAGCAAAAACCTCTCAAAAAAAAAAAAAAGATTGTTTTGCCTTCGGTGTTTTTGATTGTGTCATTGGATTTATCTTCCGCCAAATCTAAGATTCGTATAACTTGTCAGTTATAAGTTATCAATTTCGGAAATTCCCTAGCCATTATCATGTTACTTTCTGTTCAATTTCTATTTTTTTTCCTTCAGGAATTATTAATAAACTTATATTGGACCTTTCTTTTCCTAATGTTCTTATCCCAACATGTAATTAATATCTTCTGTCTCTTTCGTTTTCTGTGTTTCATTCTGCGTAATTTCCTCAAAACTATTTTTCAACCTAATATATTCCTCTTCATTTATGGTACATTCATCTAGTTCTTTTAAATGTATTTTGTTCCTTTGATAACATTTTGGGAAGAAAAGTTTTATGACTTTGACCTTTTTTTCCCTTTCTTCCTGGAATGTAGATGTGGTACCTGGTGGTGTAACAGCCACTTTGTAATCATAAAGCATACAAATAGAGCAAAAGAGAGACGAATTCTTGAACACTGATGATATCATGAAACTTTACACTGACCGTCAACACCTTATTTTGTACTCTTTGCCATGGAAAAAAAAATTTAAACTCTATTTGTACTGATTTCTGTTACATTTGAAAAATTAAATTTCAACTAGTGAAGCATCACTGAAAATATTCAAGTTATATTTGTATAAAGTGATCATGAATGTGAACATAATTGAAATGTTAACTGCTTATTTCTAGGTGGCAGGATTGCAGATGATCTTTATTCTTTTGTTTTTTGGAGAGGTTTTTGCTACGGGGAGCGTGCACTCGCCAGAAAGACAGAGAGACAGAGAAATCACCCTTTGGGGGAATGTCATGCTGCAATCCCTTCTCCTCTATTCTCTCGGGATCTTGGGCATGCATGCACACGCGCCTGGTGTGAGTTTAAGCCACCAAGTCTGGGACTCAAACCACTGTTGACTACATGGGAGTCCAGTAACATAGCCATTACGCCAACTGCTGGTCCCTGATCTTTATTTATTCTTAGTATTTTTTCTAGATTATAAAAAACTCTTAGCCTTAATTGGCAAAATTGTCTTGTGTTAGTGGTAACGATAATAACTATAGCTTATTTACTGAGCTCTTTATTCTGTGCTGAATACTGGGGTAGGGGTTTCAATATATTATCCTGTTATTATCACATTAACTTATTTAATTTACTGTGTATGAATGATAAAATTTTTAAATTAGAAGATATAATATTAGAAAACAAATTATTTCACTATATACTTAGTTTTTCTTATATAAAATTATAGCTACTATTAATTACAATAAAGGTATCCCCAAATTTGAGGAGGTTAAGTTTCATTTTCTTTCTTTTAAAAAATACCTGAAGGTACTCTCTGGACAGAGGTTTGCTTGAATGGTGAATTAGGATTCCATGAGGCATCTACTTTTCCTCCAAATGCTAAAGACTGAACAATATGAGCCTTTTTATGGTTAAAAATGGTAATCATTGATCTTCTTTCTTTTTCTGTAACTTCTGATAAATGCAAAAAGCAATGTTATTGCACAACATGATAAAGATGCATGTAGAGTGATTCAGAAATAAACACTTTCAAAAATTGATCTGAACTCCATTTTATGTGAACACCTTGTCAAAATCCTTTTTTCACAGCACTGTCGGTTACTTCCTCTTCCAGGTACTCCCTAGATGCCCCTCAGGCCACAGGCAGAGCTCAGTCGTGCAGCCTAATGCAGCTCAGATATTGCCTAACACGTCATCATGGGTGATTAAATTGCAGCTTCATGCACCCTTTCCTTTGCTCAAGGCTATTAGAAAGAAGCAGTATAACCATAAGGTTTTGATCTATCCTCATAGAAAGAAGTTACCCAGTAATAAATTATTAAGAATGTTCAAACATCTAGAGATAGAAAGGCCAGTAGATAAATAATATAGCACTTGGGGGTAAAATGG